TCCTACAATTTAATATCCAAACCTTTTATTTTAAACAATATAATAGCCAAACCTTTTTGAAAACAATCTAATATCCAAATCGTCAACTTTCTGTCTGTTTGACCGTTAGTTGACACTTCAAAAAAGTTCGAAGTACGATACTTCATCAATATCCATCGATATCTTCTCTGAAAAACCACCAACATATCGTAATTCCAAACCCGAGAAGTCTATGACTCCACCATGATGGTATAGAATATCTAAATATTCAGTCATCTGCAATGCCAAAACAAGAAAACAAAGTTGTATTGTGACAATTTCCCCTAAACAAAGCTTTTGTAAGTGTTAACTAACGGTCAAACGAACGGAAAGTTGACGATTTGGATATTAGATTGTTTTCGAAAAGGTTTGGCTATTATATTGTTTAAATTGAAAGGTTTGGATATTAAGTTGTATTTACCCTTGTTTTGGTAACTTTTGTAATAAAATCGTGTTTGTATAAAAGTTTAGCCCAAAAAATGTGTTATTAATACCTGTGAAAGTTTTATCTAAAAATTGTTGTATGGAAGTGTTTATGGGAGAAGTTAAAATTAAACTATCCATGCGGATAGAGCAACTTAATGTTTATTATGAAGATGAATTAAAAGAATCGATTTGTAATTTTACAAACAATAATAATATTATTATATGAGATGAGCGTAAAAAAGATGTATTTAAAAAATATTATATGAGATGAACGTAACAAAAAAAGTAATAGAAAATAAATACTTGGCCATCAATCCAACAGTCTGATTGATTTCCAGCTTACAAAAGAATGGGCGAATACGGGGCCACCAGATTGAATGGCAGGAAAGTGGAACCAAAGCCGAAGCCTGTATCCGTCCTTCACCAACAATCGATCTACTTCCTTCTGGTTTCTAATCCTATCTCAGATTCTCAAAAGTTCCACTTCATCTTCCCCGGGTTCTCCAGCGATTCCTTCTTATCATATCTCTTCATCCTCCCGAATTTGAGAATCCTTAGCACCATGCCCCGCCTGTTGGCTGGGGAGTTTGATTATTATGTATGTTGTATGTGTTGTAACCACTTATAATGTGTGTAAATAGTGAAGATTATTATGCATCTTTGTATGTGTTGTTACTACTTATAATGCGTGTAAATATCAAAGATATAGAAGTGATAGTGATATACATGTTTACAAATAAAGCATTATAATTGATCGGTGATATATCCAACATATCAATGAAAATGTTTTCCAATATTTATCATATTTGTTGATGACGACACAGGTTATAAATATGAAATTGAATGATTTGAAAGGTTGCGGATTGATAGTCAAAGACGAATGACCTAAAATGATAGGTAAATTGTCCAAATTACCCTTCCGTGAAACCCTCACAGGCTTGGGAATTCAAACACCGGAAATCCAACCCATGTTTTGCCTTTATATATTATGTAGAATATAAATAACTTAAGATAAAATATAAATATAGGAGCATCATCACTAAACATATTCCTATAGTTTAATCAAAGAAACAATAATAAATAAAATATAGCCTAGTTGGTTATAATGTTGTTTCGTCATTTAAGTGACCAAGGTTTGAACTCCAATGATAACAATTTTAATATATAAACATGAACTGGGTACAATGACAAAAATGACATTCCTAAAATCACTCTCATGCCACGAAATTTGAAATGGGAGAATTCCAACCCATGTTTTGCCTTTATGTATCTTGTAGATACCGTTGCAGCCTTGCTGTGGTTGTTTGAAATAGGAGGTGTAAGTTTTGAGGGATTGCAAATTAAATAAGAGAGTGTAAATTTGAAGAGGTGTAAGTTAATAAGTGAATTAACATTTGGGAAGAAAATATAAGGTATAATAGATGAAGTGAAAAATAAGTAATTATAATATTATTGATCTTGATGAGAAGAGAGAAAATTATCTCTACCGGCCATGACGGAATCCTGTAGTCGATATGGAGATGCAATCTCTTCTGCCTACTCCATGATTTGGAGCTTCGTTGTGGCTTGATTTTCTTCTCTTGTCTATGGTCAGCTGATTCGATTGGCAGCGAAAATCCTTTATGTTCTGCAATACTCTATCCTTAGATATTGTTGTACATAAATTTGGTCATTAATGAATGTAACACCCTACCCTATATGTTTTGCCTAATCATACTGTTCATACAACTGCAGCGGAATTAATCTCGGGTGTTACAATAATTATCAAAATTTACCTAAATAAAATTTCGACATGAATTACTCGCGTAATGGGCTAACAGTTCTTGCAACTTATCCTGCAAAATAATTCATCACAAACATATATACTCACAACCATATGCATTGCCTTTTCATAGCCATAGTCACAGTTTCATACTACACAACTGCATACCAAACTTATACATACCATAATCGTCACAACTTACACAGTTACACAACATATACACATATCATCAATTTTCCACACCTGTGGATATCTCACACTACATCAGAAGCTAGTATGCACATGAAAAACGTTCTCAAAACATTTTTACAAAAAGGTGTGGATCACTGGCCAAAATCCCGAGTAGTAGTCCAAGCACAGAATAGTTGAAGACCATACCTCATCATGGCTTCAACTCTAGCTCCTCTCCCACCTAACACTTATCTACTGCTGTTGCTGATGATCTGCTTACACATAGCATAAGCAGAGAAGAAGAATAAAAGAGGGTCAGCTCATAGCTGAGTGAGATAATCATAGCATCGTGAGTTCTTACAGAGCATACCCCTATCATACATCTAACAATCAAGCCAAAACACTAGGATCGGACCTCAGCCATCCTCATATCCCAATAAGCAAAAGACTCAACCACTTTGACTTATGCATATGCATCTTATCATGTTTTAATCATAGGCGCCTGGCTACTCCCATGCTAATAACTCTCCCGGGAAACATACCCCACATCCCGTCGGATGTAGTCATACATACCCCAACATCCCGTCGGATGTGGTCATACATACCCCACACCACTATGGGTGTAGTCATACCCCGACACCACTCTGGGTGTGGTCATATCTCGTAAGAATTCTTCAGTCACCACCACATGAGAGGTGTGACTATCATATATATCATAATAGAGTAATAGCATAGGGAGCCCTAATTACTATGTAGTTGACCGTGAGACCACAACACTCATATTTGGTATCCTTATACATGATTCATATCTCATCTTGCTTAATCATAATTCGTTACTTGCACATGTACTTGACCAGGCCACAATTGGCTCAACATAGGTAAATCAGGAGTCGTATAATTGCACTTCCTCGGGATAAACCCTCGTGCAAGTCATCCTCCTTAAAACATCATAATATCACCTTGGGAAGTTTATTCCCCCACTTATGGATCCAAATACAACCATAATATCACACCATGTCAAAACCCCTTATCGAACAACCATGAAGTCATATCAACAGTTAACCCACAAATGGCAACATGTATGCAATCATCCACATAAACAAGGTTCATATCCATTAGGGCAAGTCAATAATATCATACAGCAATCCAGGATTCAACATATAGCACAACAGCTCATACACCCCTAATCATGCCATTCTAGTTCACCTAGATCAATTCTAAGCATCAATATAATTATCGTGATACGACAAACCCGGTATGCCGTGCTAATCCCTCACCAGTTCTGGTCGTTCAAACACCGGTTCTAGCCTCCGGTACTAAAACATCAATTTCACGAACGAACCCCGAATTAAAATCCGAGACCGGCCTAATATCCCCTGCAGTATCCCCGTCAATATTAGTTCTGGGCTCCGGGTCAAATTCTCGATAAAAACACATCAAACCCTGGCCGGAGCTAAATTCAGCGGTTTGGACCCCGGCCTAATTAATAGCCGAAATTCAGGGATTAGAACTAGGGGATTGATTACCTCGCTGCAGGAAGCTCGTATATGAAATTTGGGCTCAATCCGGCTTCCGGATACTCCGAAACCCTAATTTGGCTTATCGGGAATTCAAGAAATTCCTGAACCAAAAACTCGTTTTAAAGCTCTAAATCGATAAATCACGATGTATAGATGAATTAAGCATTACTTACGGGATTTTTGGATCAGTGTAGCTCAAGAATCGAGCTAAGGAAATTTTCCCCGAGCTCCCCTGTGCGCGACTGTTGTCGCTCTGCTTTGTTTTGATTATCTCGGTGGAAATGAGAAAACGATGGTGATAATGGACGAGTGGGGGGAGAGAGATTAATATATATGCGGCCGCTTAATTAATATATATATATAATACGTATACTTATCCGATCGATCGATAATCCGATTTTCGCCGAAATACTGTTAAAACGCTAGATTTTAAATCGCGAACTTTCTAGCGATCGAAATACGATTTTAGTCGAAACGGGATGTTACAATGAATATGATGTTTGTCAAAGAAAAAAATCTAGATAGCTCTACCAAATCTTTAGACCATACTAGTTTCATTCTCATCATTGAGAGAATTTTTCGGGGACTTGAATTTCAATAAGAAACATATAAATAATTGAACTCAAGAAGCATCCAATCCTTAGTGCAAATGATAATAATTTTCGCACGAGCCGACTTCTATTGACACATCGTGAATATTTTTTTCTTTTCATCATTGTTGGTATATCCTTATATGTCTTATTTTGCTTTTGATACCTATTATTTGAAATAGCTATATGACATTTTAAGTAATCTTCTTAAAAGACAAATCTTAATTGTTTAATGAATAACAATGTGGCATTTCTTAATTATGTGAGTTCTTCACTTCAACCAATTGATTGGATTTCTTGAGGTCAAATTTTCATATTCAAACTCAACACAGGCTAGTTTTTCATAGACTGATATAATAAAATGATCATTCCATGAAATATCACAATTCTAATAATTTGCTACCAATGAAAACCATTTACAAAAAACTAATCGCTATAGATCGCTTAGGTTTTTTGCTCCGCTTTTCCCGAAGCGCAACCCAGGAATTTCTCGTAGCCTAGCGGACGCCGCCGATGAGCGAAGCTCAGCCGTGGGTCTCTCCTCCGGCGCCGCAACCACCGGACCCTTCAGCTGGACAGCGCAGACCCCCGTCGGCGTCTTCCTCACCAAATGGTAAAGGAGACCGGGAGACTCAGCACACAAAGAAGAAGTCCCAATCAATGTGCTCCAACACACTTTTCGCCGCCGACGATTTGATAAAGGACCTTACGACAACCGAGTCTGAAGCTACAGCGGATGTAACGGCTCCGCTAGGTTCGACGTTGCAGCCAAAGATCCCTCCCTCGGCATGAGGGACGGGGGCGGGAGCAAAAAAGCTTTTCTCGGACGCTATCGGAGAAGAGGTTTGGTACATCGCGGAATTGGATTCCGAGGACGTTACTGCAGCCATGAAGGAAGATGATCTGGACGATGAGGTGCCGGAGGATGATGACCCCCACTGCCCCACGATACCCTTCACGTCAATGGAGAAGCAACGCTATCCTCGCAAATGGCATTCATCGCTTATTGTTAAAAGTCTTGGGACAGACGTTTCCATTCCCTGTGATCGCCCGTCGACTGGAAACGTTGTGGGAAAAGGATGGCTCCCTCCAGATTTCCAGTCTCTCCTATGGTTACTACGTGGTAAGATTCACCCATCAGATGGATTTCGAACAGGCAAGGCTGGGAGGACCATGGTTGATTGGTGAACACTAAATCACTGTGCGCTCCTGGCAAAAAAAATTCAACCCGCACAGTTCGGAAGTAGCTTCAACACTCGTTTGGGCAAGAATCCCAGAGCTACCCGTGGAATTTGTGAACCGAGAGGCAGTTGAGCGTATTGCCTCCAGGATAGGAAAACCTGTAAAGGTGGACCGAGCAACCATGACGGGCGATAGGGTAAAGTTTGGGAGAGTATGCGTGGAAGTTGATCTTACTAAACCATTGCTCTCTCAGTACAAGATTGAAGGCAAAACCTATTAATTCATGTTTGAGGGGCTTCACAACATATGCATAGAGTGTGGAAAGTATGAGCATTCGACCAAAGCATGCCCGCTCCTCCAGAAAGAGGGCCCCACTCCACCACCTCAAGAGACTGCACCAATCGAACCTCAAGAGAAAAAGGCAATGTATGGTGAGTGGATGATGGTAAAATCGAGGAATGAGAAGAAGCAGGGATCCAGGACTAAGGGAACACAAGCGGCCCATGAAGTTGATGAGAACAATTCAAGAGGAAATGGATCTCGTTTTTTGGTGCTAGAGCAGGAGGAATCCCCAGTCGTCATGGAGACTGAGACATTAACTCTGGAGGAAGCTCTGGAGGATCAAAATACGACTATCCGGGCACCCACTAAGTCAAACAAGGTGCCAGAGACCCTCCATATGAGTAACGCTGGCAACCGTGACAGCTTAGCTTCCCGTGCGGCGACGTAGAATGTAGCCGATAGAGTGGATGCGAGGGTGGATACCATCCCTTCTGCGATGATGAACAAACCAGTTGCGACTGTTCCAACACGAGCATGTTGAAGATGCCGGGACAGGGAAGCATTCGCCAGGAACTTGTGGATGTTCCGATTTCACAAGCCACCGGGACAGGAGGCCTTGATGCCAAAACTGGAAATGGAAGAATCAAGCAGGCAAAAGACCCAGGGAAGAAGGGTACGGCGGTCGGGAAACCGTGAAGCAATGGCACCGCACACCATAAATGAGGTTAAAAGGGTAGCGAGGTAGGAAAAAGAACTTTTGTTTATCTCTTATTAATGTTAAACGTCCTAGCTTGGAACTGTCAGGGGGCAGGAGACGATAGTTTTTTAACGTACTTACGTTCTTTTTGTGAATCCATGAAACCAAACATTGTTGTTATTGTTGAACCACGAATCAGTGGGGAGACAGCTCGCAAAGTGATCTGGCGTACGGGCTATGATGGGTGTCTGATCAGAGATGTTGTTGGCTTTTTAGGTGGAATATGGGTGCTCTGGCATCAACAAAATTTGATGGTGGAGGAAGTAACATCATGGGAGCAGATGATTCATGTCTCATGCTCCAATAGATCAAAACCGGATGCAGTAGTGGCCATTTCAGCTGTCTATGGGAGCCCCAACGCAGCTAACAGGAAAGAGCATTGGGATGAAATCTACCGACTAGCACAAAACTATGTGGTACCGTGGGCCTTAATAGGAGACTTCAACTCCATTTTGAGGCCTATGGATAGGTGTGGTGGGGCGAAATACCAGGATGCGTATTATCTCCCATTTAGGAACTGTGTGGACGCTAGCGGACTGATAGATGTGGAGCTCACTGGGCCAAGGTTCACCTGGCAGCGGGGGACTCTCAAACAACGCTTAGATAGAGCTTTGTGTAATGAGATATGGCTGATAAAGTACCCACGGACGATCACTCATCATCTGGAGAAGAACGGCTAGACCACATGGCGGTTGTGCTGATGGGAGAGGGCAGTAAAGACTTCACACTAGGCCCGAAGACATTTTGGTTTTTGGCGGCATGGCTTAGCCATGATGACTTTGAACAGGTTCTTTTGGAGGACTGGGCTAGGGGGGTGAACTTTCCCCAGTCGACTAGCTCCCTGACGAAAGAGCTGCGACATTGGAATTGGGCTGTGTTCGGCCATATTCAGAGACGAAAGCAAAGATTAGCAAAGCACATCTTAACTGGCGAGAGGGACAATGAGGTGGGAGCTAATATGGAATCCTTGGAAAGAGAGCGTAGTCTGTGCTAGGAGCATGAGGAAACTTTGTGGTAGGAGCACCTCTTATGGTTACAAAAATCACGGGCTCAGTGGATTGTAGAAGGTGATCGGAACACTCGATTCTACCATCTTTCAACACTCAAAAGGAGATGTTTTAGCAGGATATGGGGGCTCAAGAATGGTGATGGCGAGTGGGCATACGAAGAAGTTAGCCTGCAAATGCTTGTGAGGAATTTTTTTATGGATCTGTATCAGGTCAAGATGGGACCTTACTTCCCATTGCCGATACGTTTCCAGGCGTTGAACATGACACAGTGGGGCAGCTTGGAAAGAGCAGTGGATAAAGAGGAGGTCTGGCATGTAGTTAAGAGTATGGGGAGTCTGAAAGCACCGGGCAAGGATGGATATCCTCCATTTATCAGAAATGTTGGAAGGTGGTGGCCGAATCTCTCTCCAACTTCGTAGGCACCCTTTTCGGAAATCTAGACAAAATTGGCAATGTTCATGATAGTCTCCTGGTTCTTATACCCAAGAAAGAGAGCCCCGAGCTTATCAGTCAGTTCCGACTAATCGGGCTATGCAACGGGTGTATAAGACTCTTACTAAATGCATGGCCAACAGGATTAAGCCGCTGATACATAGCCTGGTGCATCCTACCTAGTCAAGCTTTGTTCCGGGATGCAATATTAATGATAATATCATTATTCTATAGGAAGTGGTGCATTCGATGAAGCTGAAGATAGGGAAGAAAGGAGCCATGGTCTGGAAGATAGATCTTGCAAAAGCCTTTGATAGAGTGAACTAGTTGTTCCTACAGGAAACTCTCCAGGGAGCGCGGTTCCCGACGCATTTGATTAGAGTTATCATGGTGTGTGTTTCCCCGACCTCCATGCAAGTGTTATGGAATGGTAGTTGCACAGAGAGCTTCAGACCGTCCAGGGGGTTGAGGCAAGAATGTTCTCTCTCGTAGTATCTATTTACTCTCTGCATGGAGAGCCCGAGTCACACCATTATGAGTGCAGTGGAAAGTAGAAGCCACTGGTCATAGCTCCGGGTGCACCCCTTTTTCTCATCTCTTCTTTGCTGAGGACCTGATTCTGTTTGCAGAAGCGAGTACGTCACATAGCCAGGTCATCATGGATTGCCTGAATAGTTTTGTCTTGCATCGAGGGAGCAAGTGAGCAAGGAAAAATCGGTGATGTTCTTCTCCAAGAATTTCTCGAAGCAGGGGAGTAGATCCATAGCTCGAGCGGCTGGTATCCCGATCACCCAAGACCTAGGCCGCTATCTCGGTGTGCCGATACTACATTGTAGGATCACCAAGGAGACTTACAGGTTTATTCTAAACCGAATGGATAATAAATTGGCTGGTTTGAAGGCGGAGAGTCTCTCTTTTGCCGGACGAGTAACCTTGGTGGCATCGATCCTTAACACCTTGCCGATATATGCCATGCAATCGGCGTTGCTGCCGATCTCCATCTGTGACGAGAGCGAAAGAAGGATACGCAATTTCATTTCAGGATCCTCGCGGTCACAGTGTAAGATGCACTTTGTACATTGGGAGGCAGTCTGCAGGCCGAAGAAAGAAGGGGGACCGGGGCTTCAGAAGGCACACGAACTTAAATAGCGTTCCTTACTAAACTTGCTTGGATGTTTATTAAGAAACCTGATGAGTTGTGGGTTCAGGTTCTCCAGGCCAAGTATTTTAAAATGGTGCAGGGGCAGATGGTGTTGAAATCCACATCCAGGAGCTTTACAATCTGGAGGGGCATCCGGAAAGCCTGGCCAGTTATGGTGGAAGGAATGAAGATGAGCATCAAATACGGACGAACCACGTCTTTTTGGCTAGATCGTTGGGTGGATAGTGGGGACAGACTTATGGATCATGTTCTCGAGGGGAATACACCGACCAATTTCCATGCCCTCGCTGTTAATTTTACAACGGCGGAAGGTGAGTGGGACACTAAGCAGCTCCGGCTATTTTTACCAGAAAATATGGTTTTGCAGGTACAGGGAATTCAGCCTCCAAAGGCAGACACAGGTGAGGATGTGCCTAGGTGGGGGCCAAAGGCAGCTCCGGCTATTTTTACCAGAAAATATGGTTTTGCAGTGCGGGGACGGCTCATGACGAATGTAGAAAGAGGTCAGCGCCACCTGACGGACCAGACAGTGTGCACCCAATGTTCTTCTCATCCCGAGACAGTCTTGCATGTGTTGTGAGACTTTCGTTTTGCCAGGTTAACTTGGATACATTTTCTCCAACCTTCAGAATACCAGTTATTTTTTGGATCCCACCTACAGGACTGGCTTTCACACTACCTCAAGCAGGATCATTTTAGCCTGCCTTTTGTCCTCGTTTGCTGGTCCTTGTGGAGGACTAGGAACGGCCGGGTTTTCGCAAACAAGGTCACACTCACTATAGTTGAAGGGGTTTCTTCAGCGCCTCCATGCTTGGTTAACTGTCGTGAGGAATGCATTGGAAAAGGAGAGGACAATTCATAGACCTGGTCCGCCCATCAGAACGGAGGAGGAGATCTCTTGGAAGCCGCCTCCTCCCGAGTGGGTCACTCTCAACTCCGACGGCTCAGTCCTACAAGAGTTAGGCCTTGCTGCTGCATGGGGCTTCATCAGAGATCATAATGGATGCTGCTTGGCAGCGTTCTCTTTGAACCTGGGTGCATGTTCGATCACCCGGGCATAATTGAGAGGCGTTGTTGAAGGACTTCAACTGGCTTGGGACATGGGATACAGACATGTCCGCATGGAGCTCGATTCGAGATGTGCCGTCCAGCTCATCTAGAGCGTGGACAATCCTGACCATCAGCATGCTGCGATAATAGACAGGCTTCGGCTCCTCCTTCGAAAAGACTGGGATGTTGCAGTCTATCATGTTTATAGAGAGGGAAATAATGTGCAGATTTTCTTGCCTCTCGAGGTCATTATTTGCCCGTTGGGTTTCATTTTGTACCGGTTACTTACTCTGGGGATCTCTGAATCCCGGCTTTGAATGAAGGTTAGGATGCTTTGCATCCATTTATAATAAAGAACCATTTAAAAAAAACTTCCACATTCTCTATTACAACCCTAAAAAATTTACAAAACTTCCCAAGTCTTGACAGCTAGCATAACCACCATATTTGATTCATTTTTGTTATAGCAAAAACCCCTAAAATCATATATTTATCCCATATCTCACAAACCAAGAGAAAAAATTACAGACAAAAACCCAATTTCACTCAAATATTGGGAGCTTAAAAAATCCCTCTTTGAAGAAACAAGAACATTGAAAAAAACATCATGGAAATTAATTAATTTTCAAATTACATCCATTAAGATACCTTGTATCAAAACTGTCTATCTCCCGTTAAAAATGCCACTAAAAACCTGGCTGTCACCTCCCATGGAGGCTTCCCACTCCACGGAAGCCGTCACGATTTGGGCCAGCAGCCCAACAATGTCCCTCATCTCCGGTCTGTTCATCGCCTCTTCACTCAAACACCATTGCGCTATTTCCGCCATCTGCATATGTCACACCCAAAAACAAAAATGTCGATTTCAGTTGCAACCATAGTGGCGGCCGGAAGCTCATCGGCCTAGGTTTCTTCAAATTGTGTTGACTTTACCTTATAGATTTCTTCCAATGGGTAGCCACTACGAAGGTTTAAGTCTATAATTTCTTCTAGAGCCATTTGCGGTTCTTCAGCTTCAAAAACCTCAGCCAACTGTC